AAATAAAATCGTCACCCGGCCGGGTGTGACACAGCGGTTAAGCTTCGACCTAGGATCCAGGCGATCAGGGTTCGATTCCCAGTCAGGGCACATGCCCGGGTTGTGGGCTGCAGCTGATCAATGACTCCCTCATCATTGATGTTTCTGTCTCTCTCTCTCCCTCTCCTTTTGTCTCTCTGAAATCAATAAAGATATATTTTTAAAAAATAAATAATAAAAATAAAATCCTCCATTCTCCTTGGTTGTTGACTCTTCTCAAATGAGGATTTTCTGCACCTCTGTGATCTGACGTCTACCTTCCTCTCTGCCTTATCTTCTACTTTTCTGTTAGTGATACAACCCAACTAATTATCATTTCTTTCAGTGCCTCTCTCATGCTCTTTGCATTTGTTGTTAATTCACTCTGCCTGTTGTTCTTCTGCCCTCTGTTTTCTTGAAGTGAGCTCAGTGTCCTTTAGACCTAGCTCAGATAGCCTTCTCTTAGGGGGTTGTCCCTGGTGACCCATGTCTCTCTTTCATTGTTCTATGTCATTCACTGCATAGCATCCTCACTTTCTGAAATTGCCTCATTTATTTGTTTACATATTGTCTGTCTCCCTCCACAACAATGTAAATGTTATGAGGACAGGGGCTTTGTCTCCCGTGTTTACCACTGAATTACGAGTGCTGACAACAGTGCTTAGTTTACGTAGGTGCTCTGTAAAATAAGTCTAGGGCTCCTGCAATACAATTAAAACACACAAACACACACACACATATACACAAAAACCTGAATGAGCCACCAGCACTTGAAGCTCAACGTGTCCAAACTGTATTCACAGTGCCTGCCATATTATAAGCACTCAATAAATATTTGTTCAAAGAATGATTGTATGGAATCTCTTAAATTCTGTCTCAGTAAAATCTATGCCATCTCTCCCAGTAGAACATTCATTGTCGCCATCACTCTGGTTTAGACTTTTCTTGCCATTTGTTCATTTATTATGATTTATTGGTTAGAGAGAGACAGAGCCATCATTCTCATCCATTGTTTTTCACAAATGTTAGGTTTAAATTCCTAAAGTGCAGCCCTGATCCTATTCTCCAAGTAGCTTCCCTTCACCTTTAAATGAATACAGATTACTTAACCTGTCAATTAAGGTCATTGACTGTTGCCCCATCGCCTTTCCCTACAGGTTCCTACCTTTATGCTTGTACTTATTTTTCTCCTTCTTGATGCTTTCTCTTTATCTCTGTTTTTGAGATTTACTGTTCCTCTGGGAATTCTTATTTTAAATACCTCCTACTTCAGTATTCTTTGAACTAAGTGCAAATATACTACCTACTCTGAATTATAAAACTTCTATTTTAATCTTTTGTGATACTTAAAGTGTACTTTGTGGCCGTGCTAAAGTTTACTGTATCTCACCTATCTCTGTGTGTTTTGTACCACCTTACAAAACAACTTGTGTGCCTCAGACATCACAATTGATAAATATTTTTGAGCATGTCCATTGCATAAGCCTACTTAATTATAGACAATGAATTAATATATTCTCATTGGTCAGTGATACCCAGTTATATGACTCTAAAACTATATTTGTAATCATTGTTTACAGTGTTTTTGTAAAGATAAACATGTTGATTGTGTAGTTATTCTGTAAAATCTAAGACAGTGGCTCTACATCAGAATCACCTATTGAGATGCTGAAAAAATTGATGACCAGGTACCACCCCCAGACCTTGTAAAGGAATGAGACCAAGAGCTTATGCATACATAATTGGAAAAAAGTCACTTTCGTGCACAGAAAGTATAGAGAACTATTCCTAGTATATTAGAAAATTATATTCTAACATAGAAATTAGAATTTTGAACTACCTTAAATTGTGTATAATTTTGAATTATATTTTTAAAGACTCAAGGGCCTTTGTTTTAAAGTTTTGACAGCTCAGTACATGGATTATTAATATCCATTGCTTTTAGAGTTTCTTGGTAGGCTTGCCTTTTGACTAGGTTTAATCATTCGACGGCCACTAAATATTGAAAGAAGCAAAAATTAAAATAAAATTTTTTGTAGTTTTGCTGTTTACCATCAGTTTCCTAAAGCAGGAATTATATTTAAGTTTCAGAACTTTGTCTAAAATTATATTTGGGGATTCTTCAAAATTTTAAAACATAAATGCTTGACTGTTGTAGTGGATAATTACAGAACTACTTATTAAAGTACCAGGAGATGCATTTTTCTTTATTTTGAAAGGGGAAAAAACCTAGATTATATATCAAATAAGTAAAAACTGCATTTCATTTCGCTCAGAATCTTATTATTTTTCATTCTATGAAAGAATTATTGTAAACATTTCTAGGATTTCCTTGATATGAGACTGCAAAAGAAACATAAAATTTTATCATAAAGTAGACTCATTCTATTTGATGTTAAATCTCAAAAGCATGTAATGATATTAAAGCATTTTAATTTGTGTCCAAGTTAATGCCATAATTTAAATATAGTACTATATTCTGTCTTTTATGTTATACTTGGTTATACTTTGCGTAAACAGAGCAAAGCCTTGTTTTGTATAAATAATGAAAGATTACCTTAAAGAAAAATCCCAGAAATTTTAAATTGTTTGACAAGAAAGCATGTAAAAAAATAAAATAATATGTTTTTTAAAGTATTCCTTTGGGGCAAAAATAAAATATGTGGGTAGTTGTGGCATTACGATTGTTTAATTAGTTATTCTTGTTTATTTTTCATCAAATTTGTTTTCCTAAAATGAAAACTATTTTTGACCTTGATATCATTTGTATACAAGCAGACATATCTAAAACGTTTTTATGTAAAATAACATAAACATACAGTTATAAAATAAAATTAGGGTTATTTTGTTGGTTCCTTTAAAGATTCAAAGTTTGGGCATTTGAAGGGACTCACCAGATTCCACAGAGCATGCTCACATAAGGCTTTTATGTAAAGGCAAAGGATATTGTGCAGCAAGAAAAAACACAGGCCAGCCTTGGGGGCCCAGCCCAGCTAGGCTCAGTGCCTCAGGGTCTTTATTCATACAAAGACATGCTTTGTCTCCAGATTGATCTACCAACGTGTATGCAATGAATCTTAGTTTCAGGAAATTCAAGGCAGAAGTTCCCTCCAGGGGTTTATTTTGCCCCTCTGGTCACATAATCCAGCTGGCTATCCAACCAGCTATTCCAGGTGAAAACCATCAGTAAACAAATCCTGGTTGGGGGTTACCAAAGAGATTCAGACTTTCAACAGCACAGCATAAATCCTACTTTTCATTTCTTGGCCAGGAGCCAAGGCTAGACATATAGGCATCCCCAAGCTTTCTCCACCCAACTGTGAAGTAATGCTAGACCACACAGTTCCTGGCCAGTCAAAATCCAAAACAGGGCAAGATTATGATTATACCTTACATTTGTAAAAAGTACAATAAAGTTTATAAAGTGCTTTAGTAGAAATTAAACTTATCTGAACATTATGATAATTCTGTGAGCTGTGCTGGAAAAATCTGTATCTCTGTTTTACAGCTGCAAATCTGAGGCTCAGTGAGGTTAAGTGATTAACCTAGTTCACATGGCTTTCATGGTGGTAGAGTCAGGTCTAGAAGACAGACCTTACAGCTTCTATTCTAGAATAGCTTTCAGTATTTCATGCCAGGTGTAGACAGAGACAACTGTTTAGTTCTTTTCTAACTATTTTGTAGAATAATGTAGAAATAAATGAGTACATGTAAACTACTACTTATTTTCCTCCAAAATAACCATAGATTTTCATGTGTTTTAGGAGTCATGATATAATAATTTAAGTGCTTTCAGAACACTTTTTTTTTTTTAAAAGATTTACAAAAACAGGTCTTAGGACCATTGCCTGAAATATTTTTTAAATTATGTGGGAGAAAGATTCTGTTTCAAATGAGAGATTCACAAATTTTTTGTATTGTAGGATTTCCACAGACAAATATGGAATTGGATAGGCAAGATCTAAGTAAAATATCAAGATACACCTGTGACTCTGTCTCCTTTCCTTTTGCCTTCTCTTTCATTCATTTATGATATATTCACTTCTACTATGTTCTAGGTACTATGCTCTCTACTGTGATCCTTTCCTTTAATGATGTTAATTTCATATATTTTTATAAACTTAGAATTCCATGAGGGAGTATCTGTTAATAATGTTCACAGTATTATGTATTATGAGAACTGAGGTTGTAGGGTCTTTTACCTAGGACAAGTTAGGGAAGACTTTAGATGAGACTTTTGAACTAAGTCTTGAGGGTTGAGGAAGTTATAAAAAAAAAAGAGGAAGGGAACTAGTCCAATCAAACAAGTGAAAAAATAGACAAGGATGTGTTTAGGAAACAGTGTGTTAACAATCTGTTATACCTGGAGCATAAATTATAGGAGGAGGGTCGGGATTGGCAAGACACGAGGCCAAATGATGGCTAGCCTTACATGCCATGCAGAGGAGTATTGATTGTATGCCCAAAAAAGTGGGGAATCCAGAAATTGTTATTAAATGAGAATTTTTATCACTAGATAACTTTTTTGCAGGTAAGATGCATTATAGAGGATGAATTAAAGAGACCAGCAGTGAAGAGATCAGTTTGGAATCTATTGGAATAGTCCTGGGAAGCAATGTTGGGGCCAAATTTGGGCAATGGAAGTTCAAATGGATTACACAATTTAGAGGCAATTTAGAAATAGAATCATTAGGCAAATTAGATAGAAATGAGGAAACCATCTATTTCAGAGGTTTGGTTCACTTGACCACAAGAGCAACTTAGTGATCGTATGTCCAACATCAAGAAGATGAATTAGATTATCTGCTAAAATAGAAATTAGGAAACCATCTATCGTAGAGGTTTGGTCTTGGAAGATTATCCTTTCTAAACATGTATGTGCACAAAAGTCAGTACTGACTTTACCAAATTTACATTTCTTTTCTAATTGTTCAAATTATTTATGGTGTATGAAAACTGTATTAATTTACTTTCTGTTTTAGGCAAGCCAAGTTAGATCTGAGAGTTGCAGTTGCAAAAGTGGAAGAGTTAACTAAAGTGACTGAAGATTGTCGAGAACAGATGCAAAAGAAGGTACTTTCTTATTTTCTAAGACAACTGATTCCCTGTAGCTTAGTTTTTTCTGTGTGTTTGTTTTATTATTGATCTATTTGAATTAGATCAGGGTTGAATTAAACAGGGTTGCTGGAAAACAAAATAATTGTTTTCTTGCCCTCTAAATATAAAATTAGGAAGCCAAATTACAATATTAGAGATAATTGTATTTTCCAGTTTTCAACCAAAACTAACTAGACAGGAAAGTATAATTGTTGGCAGTGGGGGCAGTCAGTGAAACTCACTCTCAGTGGACCCAGCTGTTGGATTTAGCAGGCAAAGATGAAAGGAGCAAGCAGAAAAGATGTTTAAAGAAATAATGGCTGAAAACTTCCAAAATTTGGTGGAAAACATTAACAAATCTAAGAATCTCAGTGAACCCCAAGTAAGATAAACACGAAGGAAATCACTTTTAGATATATCATGACAACATTGATAGCAAGTTATAAAGAGAAGGCATGAAAGCAACAACAGAAAAATGGTATAAATGGGAACAGCTATGAGTAACAGCTGACTTCCCGCCAAGAAACTGTGGGAGCAGAAAACATTGGAATAATATAGCTGAAGTGCTGAAGGTGAAAAAAACGCTCACTAAGAATTCTATGTGCAGCGCAACTATACTTCAAAAATGAAGGAGAAATGAAGGCAAAATAAAGGCATTTTCAGATAAGCGAAAACAGAGAAGTTGTCACTAGCAGAGCTGTACTTCAGAAATGCTGAAGAAAGCTCTTTAGGCTGAAAGGAAGCAGCACCAGATGGCAACTTAGATATAGGAAGAAATTAAGAGCAATAGGAATTGTAAATATGAAATAATATATCGACATATTTTTCTTTTTTCTTATTAACACCTTAAAAGACTTGACTGCTTTAAAGCAGAACTTAACACTGTATTTGATGGATTTATAAAGTATGCAGATGTAAGATATGACAACCAAGACACTGAAGACTAGGATGGTATGATGTTTTCTCTGAATTAATTATTAACTCTAAATGGATTGGGGTAAATTAAAGATGCATATTGTAATTTCTAGAGCAACTCTAAAATAATTTAGACAGTTGTAGCTAAAAGCCAATAAAACCTAAATATATTTCAAAGCATTGCCATGTCAAAGAACTATCCTATGATTATAATGGGTGCAGTATAACCTAGTTAAGAGACCATATCTTGAAGGCAGACTGGCTGCATACAAACCCCTGCTTCGTCTTGTTGGACTTGCACTATGGAAATACAGTAGTGTGAAATATTGGTAGAAATCTATGTGCAGTGACTATTTTGATTATTGATTATTTAATACAGGATTGAAGGTATCTAATACAGTGAGGTTCTCTTCCCCCGTTTTTTAGTATACGTATGATTTGTCCCCCAAGCGGTCCAAGCTTCCAGTTTCCTTATTTTCTAGGAGGAGGATATGGTGTCTGCCCAAAGAAGAGAGGAAGCATCAGATAGGCGTTTACAGCAGCTGCAATCCAGTATAAAACAATTAGAAACAAGGTAAATTGTTTTGAATACATCTAGCTTTACCTATACTTTTCAAAAGATATTCCACATTAGAATTTCAGTATGTATTTTATAAGTGCTAAACAAACTGTAATCATAGGCTTAAAATCTGATTTATTGGGCATTGTTTATTTTTTTAATATTCAAAAGGTTGGTATATTTTGAATATATACTCAGAGATCATTTCTGTCTTTACCTTTTCTCCAAAGCAATCATAGTCAAGTTTAGTCAATCTCAAAATCAGAAATGTGCTTTCCATCTTGAAACAGAAAAAAATAATAACAAAGTTGGGTAAAAAATTATATAGAAAAAACATTTCTTACTAAGCAGATACACAAGAAAGAAAATACTTGAGAAATCATTATAGATATTTTCCCTGGAGTTTTCTGAAGCAACACTTTTCAGGTATCTTTGAAGGTCTGGACATAAATATATCTGCAGCTTTGTCTTTAATTGCTATCTTAATACAAACATTCACTCTAGAATCTTTAGTTGTTTTGCTCTTATTTCCTCTTATTAGCTGTTCCCTTAAGAACTTGAAAATTGTCATTTGTAATCTTTTAACAATACCATGACAATAGCCTGTAAATTCACATTATAGTTTAGAGCTCAAAAATCTCCTGTGTATGATTGAAATCTTTTATAATCAGAAATAGTCTACTGAGAACATCAAAAATTGAGATCTTAGTTCTAGTCACTGATCAATGGCTAATTTATGTTTGTTCAGCANCAGAAATAGTCTACTGAGAACATCAAAAATTGAGATCTTAGTTCTAGTCACTGATCAATGGCTAATTTATGTTTTAAAAATTAGTGTCTTTTACCTTTTGTTTCCTGTTCTCCAAAATGTTAATAAAAGTAATTTCTTTGCTCACAGGAGGTTGAGAACTAATTGATTTTAATTGCTAACTTGATATTCTGATGAAAGAGGTAATTTTTAAGGACTAGAGTTTCGGGTTTTCATTTTTCTAACCTGTTTTCCTGGACTTCTTTGTATTAACCTTAGAGAAAAAGTCTGTCATTATAGATATTCATTTCTGTTATTTTAGTAACATTCTGTACTATGAAAATAAATGCTAGAGATTGAAAACAGTGAAATCTAAATGAGTGCATTTCACTTCCTTTTCACTCTGATAGCATTAAATCTGATGAATCAAGTTGTTCATTCAGCGATGCTCTAAGTTGTCTTTTCAGTGTTGAAGGTTTTGGAATTTTTGTTAGTTTTATTTTGTTTTGCTGTTAGTATAAAGCTATAATATAACCTAACTGAACAGCTCCGTAAGAAGGGATCACTGCATGTGTAAGAAAATACGAAGCTATTTTTTAAAGTCAAGTATTCAGCTAGCCTCCTGCAAAGAAATTTTTACATTGGCTGTCTTTCAGCACTATTTAATTAATGTTAAGTTCCTATTATGATTTTTTAAAAGGTCATTTAAAAAAAATTTTATATGTTTTTTTTTTATTTCAGAGAGAGGAAGGGAGAGGGAGAGAGAGCTAGAAACATCAATGATGAGAGTCATTAATTGGCTGCCTCCTGCATGCCCCCTACTGAGGATCCAGCCCACAACCCAGGCATGTGCCCTGACTGGGAATCGAACAGTGACCTCCTGGTTCATGGGTCAACACTCAGCCACTGAGCCACACCCAACTGGGCAAAGGTCATATATTTTAAAGTTTAAAAAAATGTTTTGTATTTTTATATAAGAGAAAGTGTACTTTATATGTGCCGTTAGCAATGTCCAGCTAATATATTCTATTTATTGGAACTGCCACATTGAAAAGCTCTATATTTAATGGTCATCTTTGGTCCATGAAATCAAAGACATTTTGGGCTCAATAAATACTTATTATTATAGTTATTAAAATTATTATTTATATTTGAAATTATTTGTAATCTTTTCAAATGCCACAAACATCTAGGAAGCATTAAGTCACTTCTTTCCATCTTCCAAAGAAAGGTCTCTTTACCCTGCTCTTTAGATGATTTATGGATCCTGGGAAGTATCTCCAGGGAATGGATGACAGTTCTCTCTGGGAAAGACATTCTCTGGTTTGTATATACTCTGCTAAATAAGGCAGGAGTTAAATGAGTAGCATGGCTTCACACTAGCTCTTCATAAGCCCTGCTTGAGTCCCCCTGTTCTGCCTGCTAGATGGCTATAGTAAAGGGAAGGGTGAACTGATGGTAGGACAGCAACAGGTGTCCTGAGCCTCTGTGGGAGAGGCAGGTGCTTCCTCTGCTGTTTCAGCCAAGTAAGGCTGAATGAATAATGTTATGCATGGAAATCATTACATTAAAGTATGAGAGGACTGAGTTCCTATAAAAGGCAGAGACTTAAAGGTTCTGATTAAAAAGCAAAGTCCAGTAATAGGTTATTTTAGAAAACACCTAAAACAAAGAATTAATGAACTAGAACAAAGAACTCAAGAGAGGAAAGAAGAGGATTTGTTTTAAATTTAAAATAAGGGTTTTAGTGGATAATATTAGCAACTTGAAAACAAAAAGAAAGTGGGAGTAATAGTATTACTATCACACGAGGTAGAATGTAAAGGTTAAAGCATTAAACAAAGAGGGACCTTAAGTAGTGAAAATTAGTACCATTTTGAAAAAGATAACATTAATAAACCTATATACAGCAAATAATAGGACAGTTCAATATGTGATGCAAATGCTAATGAGTGCAAAGGTGATTTGATGAAAATACAGTTGTGGTTCATTACTTTTGGCCATCTGCACCTCCCTGCCACGTCTGGGGAATTCCCTAGGTTTAGCTCTTCATGGGAGACCAACTAGTTCTGTGGGGAAGTATAGAGCACGTCCCTTGCTACAAAGCTTCATATCTGTGGGGAAGTTTGGGGTATGTCCCTTGCTACAAAGCTTTCAACTCTCCCAGTGAGTTTGTGAACCTACCAGTATCCTTTTAATAAACCCCTTTTCCACTTAGATTGGCTTCTGCTGCTGGCAGCTAAGCACTCTAAAAAGTGATACACCTTAACTCCCTTCCTTTAGGATTAAGCAGAAGTACTAAACAACAACAACATGTTTAAAAGGAGAGGAATGAAATAAAAGGCAGGCTAACTTCTGTTCCTTCCAAAGCTGGGAGAGAGAGGGGTGTGCTGGAGCAGGCAAGCTTCCTCCTGGCACTGTGTGTTTGGGGGTGAGGATGGGCATGGGGACAGGATAGGGCTTCTCCTACCACCACTTAGGGGGGGAAAATGCCTGAAAATAACAAAGGAAAGGATGAGATATAAGGGAAGAGTTATTATCAGAACATGTTACTAAAGATGTGGAGGTAAAAAAAATGAAAGACATAGCAATCTTCTGAGGAAATCTAGGAGCTTATGTTAACAATCTATAGATAAGGGAGCTCATCTTTATAAAAATTGAAATCCGAGAAGTTGGAAAAAATAGTCAAATTGAGCTGTATTAAAGTGAAATTTTGCCATGTGATGAAGATTCCCTACGTAGAGTCAACTGCCAACAACAACAAAAAAGTAGATGTAGGAAAAATATTTGCAGCATGCAGGACAGGTCAGAGGTTAATATCTTAATAGTCAAATAGTTCTTATAAAGGAACAGGCAAAGTAAATAATCCATCTGAAAAAATGGGCAGAGAATATGAAGAAAAAATTTAAAGATCACAATTCACATGGCTAACTAACTTTTTAAAATATACTTAAACCCCCCAGTAATCAGGGAAATACAAGTTAAGTTACATCCATCAGAGTAGGAAAGGAAAGAAGAGCTTTGGGATGTACTGCCGGAGGATTTCTACAAGACATTATTCAATGAGAAGAGCAAGTGCAGAAAAGGGTTTATACTATGATCTTAATTTTTATAACAACAGAAAAATTATGTTTAAAAACCTATAGATCGGTGTGTATATAATGTGTATGTATATATATGTATATGATTTTATGAACTTGGGAAAATATTCAAAGATACACATTAGTAAGTTAACATGGGTAATCCCAGTAGAGAATGGGAACTGGCAGCCAAGCAAAAAGGAAAGGAGGAAAAAAAGACTATAGAAATAGAAATAACAACTCATTATTTAAAGATTTGCTTTATAACATTTTCATGTAACTGAGTAATACACCACGATAATATAGAAAGTGTAACATAATTAGAGTCTGAATATCTAGGTGCAGCCTCAGCCCCACTGCTCTTTAGTCATACGACCTTAATCAGATGCTTAATCTCTATTAAAATGGTGTTTGTTTTTCTTTAAAATGGAAGTAACGAAATCTATGTTGCAGAACTTTTGTGTGAATCAAATGAGAAAATACATGTGAAAGTAACTAGAATAATGCTCGTCCTGTAACAGGTGCTCAGTAAATATGCTATCTTCTTCCTTCCCTTAAAAAATATTTCACTTTTGAAACATGACTGTTAATATTTAGATTATCTGTGACACTCCAAGAAGCCACCCAATTAAGAGCAGATAAAACACATTTGGAAAAACAGACCAGAGAGTTACAAGCAAAGTACAATGAATTAGAAAATGAGAAATATGAAGCTATTGTAAGAGCCAGAAATAGCATGCAACTCTTAGAAGAAGCTAACCTGCAAAAAAACCAGGTAAGAAAACTAGTTAACATGTTTATAAAAAAAAATAAAATGCTGAATATTCCCCCATATGACCTAACAGTAAGGGAATCTATAACTACAGAATAAACACATGAAAATGAAATTGCTGTGCTTTCCATTAATAAACATGTTGCACTTTGACGGTAAGACTTAATATAATAAAATATGATAAAATGTCAGCCTCCCCCAAAACTTTTGTATACATATCAGACTTTTCTTCTGTCTACAATCCTCATGTAACCAGTCTTCATCCCTGTAGCCTTAGCGTTGTAGTCTCATACTCTTTAAAAAGCCTGTTACAGCACTTTACTGAGGTATAGCCTGTATTTTATGCAGTTGAGTCAGATAAATCTTATCTACCTTTATCACCTACACAGTTACTGTAATAGAGCAGAAGCTTAATTGGCAGAAATTAAATTTAGCTACAAAGATTTATTAACTGGAGCCTTTATGTCACTTTTTTTTTAACCTTCTAACAGTTTATTCCTGTGTTATCACATATCATGTTTGTCTTTTACCACTTCCATATGAATGGTATATAGCTTATAGAAATCATAAGTACATGGATTTGTTTTTAATGTTGCTGCCTTGCTTATGTAGAGATCATTAATTCATTTAACTGACATTTATTGAATACCCAGTATATGTATAATACCCTGCTGGGAAATATGGGAAGTACAAAGAAAATGCTTTGTTTTATTTGTTTCCTTTCTTACGTAGTAGAGGGTTTTCCAAGAGCGCTATTAAAAACAAAACAGCCCAGCCGGGCATGGCTCAGCGGTTGAGCATCAACCTAGGATCCAGGAGATCAGGGTTCAATTCCTGGTCAGGGCACATGCCCGGTTGCGGGCTGCAGCCAATCAATGACTCTCTCATCATTGATGTTTCTATCCTCCTCTCTCCCTCTCCCTTCCTCTCAAACGAAAAACTTTAAAAAAAACAACAAAACTATACATTGTATATTTAAAAATAATTATCCAAATTTAAACTGTGATAATGCTAATCTTCCCATCTGAATGCTGTCTCTTAGAGTGCTTGAAAGGCACAAAATAGACTTAAAATGCTTGGGAAGTTCTCTTAACACCAAGTTAGCTAAAAAAAAAAAAAAAATTAAGAGCAGGACAATTGTTTCTCTTTGCCCTGGGAAGCCTAGTCGTGTGAGCATTCTGGACATCAGGTTGTGAAAGATGAACATTTTGTGTAGAACAGATGGACAGAGAAGGTAGCAGGGACACTCATCACCTAACCCTCAAATCCTCTTGCCCAAGTCTTCAGTCAGCAGACCCTCACAGAGGTTGTTTATAGCTGTAATATTAAGCTGCCTTTTGACTAATTGCTTATCGCTAAAGGGTTCCCACCTTCAGTTGCTTGTTCCAAGGATTCTTCCAACCAGTCACGCAGACACGAAGCACAGCCTAGCGTAGTTGTTTCGATGCCTCCCCCTTTCCTCAGTGTTTCCTTCTCCCCACCAGGTTGTCACAGCAAAACAGCTATCGCTCTTACTAACTTACCTATTTAAGCAGGAGGAAATTTATTAAACAATCTTTTTTAGAAAAAGATGGAAATGTATGTGGTATCTTTGAAAGATAGTAGGATCTGAAGACAGGGCCACTTATGTGATGTTGAGAGAGGGAGGAGGGAGGGAGATTGATTGATTGATTCAGTCAGGCAGTCAGTCAGTCAGGCCTAAAATTGGAGGTTTTCTGGGCTCAGAAAGATATTTGGGCTAGAGAGGTAAGTCTGGGAATTGTCAGCCTCTCAGTGGTATTTAAAACCATGAGATTGGATTAGACCACTAAGGGTGGATGTAGATGGAGCAGAGGACCAAGGCCCGAGTCTCGGGTAATCTATATGGAAGAGGCTGAGGGGGAGAGAAAGGAGCAGCAACACAGGCTGAGAAGGAATGACGAGTGGGTTGCGGGGAGGAGCCAAAACCGGGCGCACGAGAAGCCAAGTGAGAAAGTCAAGCAAGGGGAAAAGTAACCCATTATCTCAAGTGTTGCCGACAGATTAAATAAGGTGATTACTCAGATTCGACTCCTGAGTGACCAGTATGGAGGTTGTGGGTGGTAAAAGCCTGAATGGAGTGCCCGTGAGGGAGAAGGTATTGGGGACAAGGAGTTTGCTCCACAGGGAAGCAAGGAGATGAGTGTGACGACAGAACTGGGATTATAAGGCTAGTTTTTAGGCGGGAGATGAAGATTGGATGGATAGAAACACATCAAGGAGGCAGAGCAGGTAGTGTCTACAGTGATTGAGGTGTGAGGTGACAAGGGCTTATTTGGAATAATACCAAGTAGTGAAAAGAGAAGGCAATCCAAGAGATTGTCCCAGGACTGTGACACCCAGACTTGAAGACTTATTTTGTATAGGGACCGAAGGAGAAGAAAAATTCAAACGTGATTCCAAGACCTGCAGCTGTAGAGGTTAGAGAGTGACAGCACTGGCTGAAATAGCTGCCAGTGGAAAAGAATAAATGTTTAGTTAGGACAAGGCCAGGTGAGGGGTTAGAGAAAATAAGTCCTATTCCTAACTTAGGTAAGCACCCCAAGTGGAGATGTCCCAGAAGTTTAGAATAAGATGTTTGCTTTCGAGAAGGTTGATAGTGGATAAGTTGTTACTCATTTATTATGTTATCTTTGTTAATGATGTGATCTATAATAATATCAAATGATTATTTTCTGCAGGCTGTGCTTGAGGAGAAGCAAAAAGAAGAGGAAATAGAGAAAATGAGAAAAACACTTTCTCAGTTTATGCAAGATGCTGCCACAAGAACCAAGAAAGAAGTAAGGGCTTTTTAATTATATTTAAAATTCGAACGTTTATAGCTTAAGACTACACACTACCTGAGTTTTGCCTGATGGACCTAGTTACTTAACTGTCAGCTAATTGCATCAGTTGTGCCAAATTTCAAATAAAAAACATCTCAGCACCTATGCTCTGAGCTGCAGTGGGGCAGGGGTGGAGGGTAGGGAAATGGCAGAGTGACTGATGTGTGCATACCTCCTACCTCGCCATATCAGGAAGCTGCAATGTCAGGGTGTGCACTGGTGATGCTAAGCTTGGCCACATGGCTAAGTTGGTAAGACCAGATTTCTCCATTGTTTCTTAATAAATAATCGGGAGATTCTCGAAGACCATGCAGGTATCCTTTTCCACCAAAATCTTTCATCCAGTGGTTTTAGCATTCATTAATAACTCTTGCCTGAAATAAATATTATATGGAGTGATTAAAATGATAATATTCTAATTCTATTATTCTTTCTATACATTTATGAGCCCCCATTTTTTAGTAAAGAAGTGCCCTGCCCCCCTTTTAACATCACTGTGGATTCATACGTTTTTAATTTTTTATGTTATATTACCATCAGTCTTTTTTATTATCAAATTGTCTCTCTAGCTTTCTTGCATAAGTGATGTTCCTCTCTCATCTTGTACTTTCCCTGCCTCAGACCTGGAATCTGCCAATTTTTCAAGAAGCTTGGTTGCAATTTTTTAACTTGACATTTTTGTCCGAGACAAGATTTAGAAAAAGCAGAAATGTGTAGTTTAATTTTTACTGTAATATTTACATTAAAATGCTTGCCTACATATTTATAAATACTATCTATGAAATGATTAACATACATTATTGAAAACGAACACCTTTTTCTTTTAAAATGAGCTCCTATCCACCTGAAGCTAATAAAATATTGTATGTCAAATATACTTTAAAAAAAAATAAATTTAATAAAGTTAGGATAGGATATAATAAATAATAGGATAGTTGGAGACACTATATATTCCTCCACGGGATAAAATAAAGGTGTTAACTATTTTCATATATATTTGCAGGCAGTATTATTTCTTGCTGAAGTAGACTGAAGTAAACTAGTTTTGTAAAACCTCGTCTATTTTTTTTAAAATAGACTCTAACATGTTTGCTTTTCCCAAAAACAGTTAAGTGGTAGAGTTTTTATTCCTGCAGAGTCACTGTATAATGATTCTTGCTGCAGAAGTATTTCTTAGAAGTCTATTACTTTGTTGCTGTCTGACTGAAATTAGGTGGTTCTCCAAGATAAAATTTCTAATTTGAGGCAGAAGCCAAACTAAAGCCTGGGTTTTTTTGTTCCTAATCTTGTATGTCCTTTCTGCAGAAATCCTTGTTCTACTCTTAGGATTGAAAATACTGTAACATTGCTGTAGTTTAAAATATTCTGATGACATAGCTTTAAAAAGTAGATATTAGTAAATTTTGTTGATTTTAATGATGCAACTGTTTTTATCAAAGTACCCATGATAGGAGAAATCCTCTAGTTGATTTTCTAATTCTAAAATAAATTCACATTAATTTTATGGTTGATGGAGGTTGTCTTCTGCATGAATCCTTTAATAATCTCTGTAAGTTTTCAAAAGTGTTGTGATCGCTATGTTCAGTCCAGACAGTTCTACAAATATGCGTATTCAGCTGCCTCCTTGAATCTAGTTGTCTCCCTATCTAAATATCTTACTAGGCATCTCTGTTTAACCTGTTATGTCTATCAAGACAGACATTAATGAAGTTTGCAAAAAATGTAAAATAATCCCACTCTTCTCAAAATATTTTAATTTTAGAAAGTGTACTTACTTTTTATAAAAATATATTATTTGTGTTAACCTGCAATAACCTTAGTTATTGTTGTTTATAAAGGGATTAAGTAAATATTTTGAAATTTTCTCAGTTTTCATCTCTAATATGGTAAGTTTTGATGAAAATAACCCATCATAAACAAAAGATCTTTGCTTTTATTATATAAAAGAATCCTGGGCCTACAAGATTGGCAACCACTGTCTTTTATCTTACTCTCTCTCCTCCCACCTCCAGGTTAAATTCTTGGCTCTTTAATATATCATGTGCTTATTTATCTTTTACGCCCTAAAAGTTACTTTCTTTTTTATAAAAGTTATTATCCTAAATGTGTATATTGAATATTATTAATTTTTATTGTAGACCTAGATAATTTATAAATATCTTAATTTACAGGTTGCAAACACAAGAAAACAATATAATGTACAGATTTCTCGACTAACAGAAGAACTTTCAGCCCTTCAGATGGTATGTTAAGATCATACTGATATTTTCTCCTGAAATTGCTTATTTTAAAGGGAAAAGTACATATTGCATATTAGTTCATTCAAAAGGTACTTATTAAGACAAGAACTATGCTAGATGCCAGGGACAGAGTGAAAATCAAGATAAACATGTTATCTGCAATCTTGGACTTATGGTCCAGCAGGAAAAATGGATGGCATTTATCACAGTTCACTCTGATTACCTGTCTTTGACAAAGAATGCACCTGGCACTGTGAAGCAGCCAAGACAGCTGCTACCATATGCTGGGTTCACATGGGAGACCCAGGAGAAAGGAAAAGTATATGCAGGCTCTATAGTGTGCTTAATGGGAACTTAGTCGTCATGTACAGGTCCTGAGACCAACAGAACAACCAACAGTGTTACTTTTTGTCTGTTTAATGTCATTTGTTTTAAGGATATAGGAACATTAGGTAAAATTAATGGGGTGCAGTGTGGCCAGTTAGTCATATCTAATTCTTTGTGTTTTTTTTTAGTTTTATTTCTCCTTCTATCCCCTTGCTATTTTGCTTGTCCCCTTACATGGAGTGACTTAGCTCTCAAAGGATTAATAGCTTTGGGAAAGAAGGTCCTACCTTAGTCAAGGATTATTTAATGGATTGTAAACTCTGGAGGGACAAGAACATTCGTCCTCTTTTCCCAAACGCACATGTGCTAGATAAGGCCTGCTGGGATTTTTAAAGTAACTGTTAGCTGTGTAACAACCAGAGCTCTATCAACTCACTTTAGAGTAAAAAAATTATAATTTCAGATTATTTTAATACATGTTTTTAGGGTTTATAGAAAAACAATTCTAATTCATAGCTAAGTGAATTCTTCTAAAAATATTAAATATTATCTGATGTCATGTTGATTCCTTGGGGAAAGCTGTACTGACTAATTGAAAGTGTTTACTGTCTCATTTATTAATTTTTTTCTCCCTGCTGTCCCTCAACCTCTATCACCCACCTTGTGTGTTTACTTAGAACTTGGCATTCTGCACTGGAGGTGATTTCTGAAATTCCGGGGGTAGCAGCTCTTTGAAGATTGAGCTTGTTTGTTGGTTTGCTTTTGTTTTTGTTTTTTTAATCAGTGGCCCTGCTGTACTGATGGGGTGAATGTGGCATTCCTATTGTGAACAAATCATTTCACTTCTCCATTTCTCCCCGTTTTTCTTAAGGATTTACAGATACTGTATTTATTTACAATTTGACTTGAATTTATAGGAGTGTGCCGAAAAACAGGGCCAAATTGAACGAGTCATTAAGGAGAAAAAAGCAGTGGAAGACGAACTAGACAAGGTAAAAAGAAAAAGGAAAAAGTAACTGCCTAAAACCCAACTGCAAATACGCAACATTACTGTCTGCTTCCATCACACTATCTACTAGCAACCCCTATGTTATAAGTATTCTTCTGGTGAGTGTTTTTATTTGCTTGGGATATATTCAGAATCTGCATTTAAATATTGGTATTGCCAGCATACGTTTCTTTACAGGAGTGACCACATGATTTGAACCTTTTACGTAAAGGTATAAATTTCATGAAGTAGCTGTAGTTCTTGCTTAAACCTCATCGCAGTGGTAAATTTTATTTTGTCTGTCTTCTCTTTTTAAATTTTATGCCAACTTGAAAATTACAACACTGCTATGGTTTTTACCTTTAAAAGTACAGAGTTTTATTTCATAGTTAAGAAAAATATTTATCCCAATGATATTTGAGAAAAAAATATTGTAAGAAGTCTACAGTTAACATTTTTTTCTTACTTGCCCTTTTTTATTAGCTGTAAATATCCCGCTCTTTTCAAGAGCCTTGGGGAAAAGGGAGAGACTAAATTTGATTCAGCACATACTTGCCCAGTGTTAAAAAATAATAGTCAGTGGTAGTCAAAGTTTGATTTTCCTCAAAGAGCTAGATAGCATAAACGCACGTGATGTATCTGTGTCATTGACACAAAAAGATCATAACAACACCGAATCATAAAAGAGTAACTTAAAAAGCAAAACATCTTATATAAGCCCATTTCTGGGCAGGGGAAAAAGTGTACATGTCATGTTGAAGGTAGGACCATCATGGTCACCATTCTCCTTCAAGGCTGATGCCATCTCAGCCTTCATTATATATGTACCATTTAGATTGCCTCCTGCTATACATCAGGGCTTGGGATGAATTTTTAATGTCACATAGCATAGGCTAAAGAATAGGCTATATTGGGGAAATGTAAAAGTTACAAGGCTAAAGGCAACAGGTTCTCCCACTGTCCCATGAACAGGTGCTGAAGTCAACTGCTAGACTGCAGTATACATCTGCATTTAGGTAGCAGGACATTGTGCTAATATTCTGTCTTTCTCATAGAGCAGGAGGAGGAGACACAGGTTACTTGTTCAGGCAATCTGGATTTGAAGGGTAGCTGGGTGTAGGCTTTGTCTGAAAACGTGAGCTGCCTAGACCCTGCAGTTCTAGGTTGTTATAGCCTCTGTGTCATGGGAGAAGGCCAGACAGCCACTCCTGCTGGGCAAGGGGGACCCCTATTCCAGCTAGATCGTTATCTAGTTAACACAGAGGGGGATTTAGAGTCACTTTCAGATAGTTCTGTTCACTGCAGACAGCATGTACCTGTGTTTTTAATATTCTAATACAGAATTGACTTGTGGGATCTTCACCAGAGAATCAAAGCATCATCTCTTAAGTGGTGACATCTAGAGCACTTTTTTTTTACTTCAGCTATTTTACATTTCTTTTTAAAATATTAAAAGTATTGGAATAATTTATAATGAGCATGAATAATTTGAAAAATAAGCAGTTATTATTTTGTCAGTTTTTAGCATTGTATTTTGTAAATGTGAAACACCCAAATTAATTATTGATGTGTTTTAATGCGTTACAGTGGGAACAGATGAACACAGGATCATGGGTTTTGATTTCTCATCACTGATTTCAGTTTCTAAACCTATCATTTCTTAGACCATTTTCTTCTGTAAGGTAATATACATATAAGCCTCTTCTGCAGATTTACCGTGAAGGCAAAGTAAACGAAAGTCATTACAGAAAACTGGAAGAAATGCACCAAAGATGCCTGGTTGCAGAGCGGTCAAAAGATGATCTTCAGCTAAGACTTAAGACAGCAGAAAATAAAATTAAGCAACTTCAATTAAAGTAAGATACTCTAGAATTTTCTGTGATAACATTTTCAGAATACATACAATTTTTGACAGATCCTATACTTTTTGTATAGGACTAATAATTATATCTTGTGTTAGAAAAGAGAAAAGAAAAAAAAGAAAAGAAAAGAAAAGAAGAAAAGAAACTCTTTAGCACCAAATAGGTTTTTTTGTTCAGAATTATGTCTGAAGACACATTTCTTCAGGAAGAAAAGATTTAATAGTACTTTATCATTTTTTAAAAATTTCTCCTTTCTAGCGGTTAAGTAGGTTGCATATATGTGGTATCATTTACCTTGTTTCTCTGAGCCATGTGGTTCCTAAGAACTAGTAACTAAGTCAAGAGGCTTGATCAACCCAGCTTTAATTTTTTTGTAAGATTTCTTCATAGGTGGTGATACTTTGGACTTCTGTTTGGAGGCACTCAATGTGTGGTTGATTCTGATCTTAGCATCTTTCTGAGTTTAACTCCCTTTCATGATCATGACCTAGATCCATCATTTCATTAAGAACTTTATCAGCCAGAGTTGATGCGC